CATTATCTTCTATTAATTCTCTAATAGTTTTATGTTTTCTTAAAGGAGGTAAAGCATTGTTCTTTAAATTAAGTATTGTTTCATTTTTTATTGCAGTTTGGAGTTCATCAGCTATAGTTTTTGCATGTTTACCAGTAATTAAATCAGTTGTTGAATACTTATCCTAAAAAAAATAACAAGATATAAAATTTCATTATGAAATGAAAACTAAATTACCTGACAATCAATCTATTTATCATATTACCTTGTCATTACTGTTTAATTTTACATTAGCAATTACATGAACAAATGTATTGAAACGATGGATCAACATAGCTAAGAATTGAATGAATAAGATGGAAACAAATGCAAGAATAAAAAGACATCCAATTGGTTCCAAATGCATATGGTTTTTATATATATGTACCTACAAAAAGTTATATAATTTATTGTAAGACTAATAATTAATAGTAACAAATTAATAACACACTTCATAGAGAAAAACTTACCTCATCTTCATCAATGTAAGTAATTTGGTATGCAATGCCAAAGGGCCATTGAAAATGAAAAACATCTTTGTTAATTTGCATTAAGAAAATTGCTACTATGAATAATATATTTATCATAAAGAATTTTAAAAGACATTCATTGCGTATATTCATCAATCCCTTTGTAATTTTTTTCTACAACAAAATATAATTTCTATAATAAGTGTTGTCTCATTTTTAAGTTTTTATGATATATTCTTTCTAGAAACCATACTTGTTTTTCTGCATCATTCTCAATAGGATATAGATACTTTTTAATCAATTGTTTCCAAAACTGTTCCTCTGAGGCAGAAAGAAAATCTACCTTTCCAGCCCCTAAACGTTCATCTTGAAGCCAATAAGGATTTATATAATAACTTGAATATACTTGTTGAGCATTAACAGATTTTTGTTCTGAAGTCTCAGTTTCTGAATCTATACTTGAATACAAGTCTTCAGTGACTTGTAATTTTATTTGCTCACTAGGGGTTTCACTTTGTCTATTACTTCTTTCTTCTATGGTGTCCTTTGGTATGTTGTTAAGTTTGTAGTTTCTGAAAATTGTAATCAGTTTCAATATATTTATTACAGTATTTATACCTATTTATTAATTTAATACCTTTCTATTTGGCTTAAACGAAAATTAATTTCATTTATAGAATTATAAATGGATTCTAAATATTTTTCTTCTTTTTCTGAGCTTTTGTAGATACAAAAGTCACATTTAAATAAATTGGACCAAGAAAATTTTGTCCACTCATTTTCAACAGCTTCATCAGATTGTTCATGTTGTAATTTATTCTTTTTTGCACTTTGATTTCCAGATATCTAAAAAAAATTGTAATTAATAATACATCAAAAATTTTAATAAAAGAACACAATAATTTTATTTCAGAATTACCTGTCTCTCTGATTTGGATTCTCTAGTCCCCCATGTAATATTATTAACATTGAAGATAGAAAAAATAATAAGTAGCATATACATTGATGGTACAGTAATATAATATATGATTGCATGAGGTAGGCAGGATATTTCTTGAGGATGTAAAAAACCTGCTATGACAAATTGACCCATTACAGTAAAAAATAGGAGTGTAGTGGGTGCAAATTCTCCATCTGATGCTATTTGAAGCACTACTCCAACCAGTACAACAATCATTACCAAACCATATAAAACTGTGATAATTTCTGCTACTTCTATTAAAATATTAATTGAAATGATTACCTGAGTGCGTACTTTGCAATAAAAGCAAGTGAAGATAAAAACGAGTACTGGTATTAAATTATAAAAAAAACTTGGCCAATTGTCTATATGAAAGGAAGTTACAAATGCACCAACCATCATTAAATAAATGAAGGATGGCCCTATTATTGTGCTACCTACAAAAAGCAATATAATAATATAATATTGGGTGTATACACACACACAAACACTTGGGCGCATACATTATACATGTGTGAACAATTAGCTTTACAGTATTATTAGTATTAATAATAGTACAAACATTTTAATGTAAATAGTAGATCACCTGTTAAAATCCATTGGTAAGTTACATAAAGCCATGAAATATTATCGTTTACTTTTCTAGTTCTCTTTGAGGTACCCAGTAAGTCAAGAAGATTAGCTATAGTTGATGGAATCCACCGTCGACGTTGAATATAAAACTCTTTGAATGATTCTGGAGCATGTGTGTAAGCATCACTAGCTGCACAGTACTCTACCTAATTAAATGAAGCAAAGATTTTTAAAAAGAGACTTTTAAGTTAAATTTCTTTATTTTTGAAATTTAAATTTTCGTACTTTACAACCAGCTTGCAAAATTAACGTACAAAGCCATCGGTCTTCTCCTTGATCGTACTGAATATAATGCTCGGGTTCAGTCGATTTTATTGCATACTTAGCAATGACATTATGTTGCATTAAAGCTTTTGCTCTGAAAAGAGAAAAGCAACCTGGACTGCAGAGAACAGATCCTATTGTATGTTCTGTTGATTTTTGAAGCCAATGTCCAACAGCATATTCAAATTTTTGCAACCAAATCATGAGACCTATAAATAAAAATATAACTTTTAAGTTATTCTAGAAAATACTTTGATTTACTAATTCTTAATAAATTTTATATAGTATATGTTATACTTTTATAGATATATTACAGATATTTATGAAAGTACCTTTCCCTATGGGATGTATTCTTCCACAGGCTGCACCTAATTCCTTATCTTTCTTCATGAAGTCTATCAATCCTTTAACAGCTGTTGGACGAAAATCAACATCACCATCTAATGTTAGAATGTAAGTATTTTCTGCTAACATTTCTTTAGTATCAATATCTATTGATGTGGCCATTAAGCGGTAACCAAGAAGGTAATACATATACATGACCTACAATAATCCAGTAATTAACATGAAATAAGAAACATTATTATTACCATTATTATTAGTAATTTACATACAAGGAAGAATTTATTAAACTAAATTTAGAGAAATATAATTTATTTTTCTTGTACTTATTAGTAGTAATAACATTGTTGCACCTGGCTCCATCGTTTCCTATGTCTGATTTTATTTTTATCCTTAAGATGTACTGTCAGATGTGTGTTTCCAGGTAAATTCCAGATTAGTTGGCCACCATAAGGTGTAGGGCATTTAATTGGTGGTAAATCCTGTATGCCAAGATTTTTTATATTTTCTTGCATTGTTTCTACAAATGTTGCTACATAATTATTTATTTGTGTTTCATGTTCATTGTGGTTACAGGGTCCAATACAGTTATGTATACAACAAAATGCATCATCAAAAGCTATATGAGCTGAAATAGTTATTATGTTATTTTCATTATAATTTGTTTAGGACTACTATTTATGAACATAAATAATTTTAATTGTTATTTACTTTCAAGTTCATAATAATCTTTCATAGAAATTTTATAGTATTTTTGTATCACTTTCATAGCACATTGATCTTTATCTAGTCTTAAAATACTTCCAATTAGTTCACTCATTTCTTCTTTAGTTTCATGCCACATAGTTGCACAAGCATAAATCTGAGGAACATATCTGTCTTTTTTGTTATCTGTAGTACTGTTTGAAAGTGTTGAAAAATAACTATTGAAATTTTGTAGTTCTTTTAAACTATCAGTCTAAAATAAAAGTTTAATTTTAATA